CCTCTCTATCACCTGGGGGGACTCCGCAGCATTCGCTCTCGTCACCGCTCCCCAGGACCGTTGTGCTGCAGTGGCGATCGTCCCGGATCGAAGGAGGACGGCAAAACGGCGTGGCTCACCCTGCATGCGGATGATGAAATCGGCGGCCGTTGTGTCACTGCTCCGTCTTCACGGGCATCCTGCATTGTCACGGACACCCCACCTTGCGACCGACTGCTATGGTCGACGAGAACGGTTCTCGACGCGTCCATTGTGCAACTTGGCGACAAGTGCAGTCGCAGAGGATCAGACCCCCCCCCCGCGGGATCCGCCAAGAGGGAGGACATTGGCCCCATCCCCGTGCCGCGGTGATCTGATCGAGGGGCAGGCTCGTACGAGGTTTGTGTCGACCCCCAAGCGAGAGGAAGGGTGGAAGGTGGCTGCACCCAGACCTCATCATCCGGCAAAGGCTGCATGTAGGAAGGCATATGCGCGTACAACGCAGGATCGAATCGGTGATGCATTCCGTCAGGAATTCCGATGCTCGCCCCCGTCCCCATTCCGTGCATCTGCCCCGCAGGAAGACTACCATCGCCCATCCCTTCCCTAGCCTACCTTTCTCTGACGGCCTTCTTCGCTGCGTTCTTTCGCGGACGAGCCTTGCTATGCCTCAACAAGTGCCGGAGCTGCAGCACCACGACGACGAGCAAAGCAACAAGGACGAATGCCAGCAGGGCAGTCTACCTGACCAGGTCTGCCATACGCACACGTGAGGAGAGCTGAAGACAAGCACAGCCCGTGGCAGTGATGAAAAGGACAAGCCGTCTGCTTTCCACTGTGACACGGGCAGCATCATATTGCTGTGCATCGGCGCCAAAGGACGTTCGTGTCCTGCCAAATTCTGATCGAGGGGAAGGCCATGAACTGGCCGTTCGCAGGCACGGCGCTGCCAAACGCGTGTTCCGAATTCGAAACACCGCCAACGGCCAGTCGCCGCCCCGCCGCTACCAGAACGACCTTCGTACCCTCCCAACGGCTAGGACAGCTCGCAACGGTACTCGGAGACGGTGGTACCAGGTTTCCTCGGTGCCACTTTCCCGACCGAAGGGCCGGACAAGTATTCACTGGACCAGGAACGGTTGTGGTTCGCTGGGAAAAGAACAACCCCGCGGCAGCATCCGTCAAATACGCACCACGTACGTCCCCACCCTCACATTTCTAGTAACCTCCGGGGGCTCCCTAGAGATTTC